TGCAGTGTCGCGACATAAAATCGCGAAACGACGTCGTAAAATGCGAGCATGAAGGGAGAGACCTTTACTCATGGTAAAATCTCCGGGAAAACCGCGTCAAACCGACGTGGTGACGGAAAAAGGGCAGACGAGGAAAGCGAGAGTGGAGCAGCCGTAAAAACACGTCAAGTACTGATCGCGGAAACTAGACGATCGCCAGACGGCGACTACGACGTCATCTAGAACGTCGTAGTCGCCGATTTTTGAAAAACACGCATCCTACACAACGAAGAGATCTAGATATAAATAGTGTTACTTATTGTTGTATTTGAAATCGATTTTGATAATCATTTTTTTAAGCGAAATCGTCCACTTTTTTAAAATATAATTCGATAAAAAATTCTGATGAAATAAACAAAATACCTTGAAGACGTAAGTAAGTAATACACTACTTGTTATATTCAATTAAAATTTCACAGTAATACAACATTATTTGACTTTCACCAATTCTGTAAATTCCGTCAATAATACAGATTAAACAAATTGCTTACAAGCTCGCATTAATATATTACATTATTTAACATCCGATGCAAAGCATTGAATAAAATGTTGTAAAGTAAAAGTTGACTAGCAGTTTACCGAAAGATCTCGTAAACTATTTTTTTTTTTGACGGGAAAAAAAATGTAAGATATGAAAACCAGACAAGCTGACCTTTCGCCAGGAATTCCCGTTGCATTCTCACCCTCGTTCATCTACTCCCTTCCTTCTGCTTCACGTGCGCAGACGTGCAGGAAGACTCGAACTTTTAATTGACCCCAAACTCTTCGACACATCGTAACTTATGCCGAGAGTACAATGTAACAGAGTTCTAGTCGCGTCCCAACATGTTTCTCGTCCCGCATTTGCACAACGTGCTTTGATTCCGCACTAAGAATAAATGGCACTAATTGAAAATCTCCGCTTATTCATAAATGCTGAAGTTAATATCACCGTGCAATATGCGTAGAACATTCCGAAACTACTTTTACCTCGTTCAACAATTGCTATAATTCCGACTAAAAGTGTGATTGTTTCGGCTCTGTATTATTTTTAATTCTTCTATTCAATCTCTAGGATTTAGTAAAAAACGATCGTGCTTTTTTTCTATGTTAATACGGTATAATCGTAAGATATTAACGCATCACTATGTGTTCCTTATAGAGCGAAGGCATTTTAAAGAGCTCGAAGAATAAAATATCACACAATCACATTACATACGCATATATTTGACAGAAAATACGCGGACTGATTTTTGTGCATGCCTGTTTACGTGGAACAGTTGGATTTTTATCGACCTGTTTACGAGCCGATTCTACCCCTTCGAATACGAAATGCAATCCGTTTTCTCGTATGTGCGCTCGTATAAGAAGAAATAAGCTTGAGAGAGGAAAGCAGGTAGAACGTTTGTTAGTATTAAAAAAGAATAACCTTTTCCCCCGCATCCTCTTTATTTGTAGGATATTTTCATTTGTACATTACAAGGTAATACGAGATGGGACACGGGATCCTTTTCTCGCAACGTAGGAAATTGTCTCCTCTCTCGGTAAAATTATTACAAAAGTACCCTTACCAATGTACATCCAAAAAAAAAAACTTCCATTAACTCATCGGAGGACGGAAGTTCAAGTAGCTTTTTATAATCCGGTTAAAATTAGCGTAATCCGATTCTTTGCTTTAACGGATAAAAATATCTCTTAATAACCAGAGAATGATCAAGAGGGTACAGATCACAAGGTAAGTGAAAGTCGCGCGCGTGTTGCATTAACGTGTTTCTTCCATCGTTACGTCGCGTCGGGTGAAACGTTCGGAACCGAGAATGAAGGAAGTTGCCGTCTCGGATTTAGTTACCCGTGCAAGATACTCAATGATCATTAAAGTCATTCACTGGTGGCGTTAAGATTTCAAGAGGCAAAGAAAGAGATGCGTCTGGCGCAATCTTATCTCCTCTTAACGCCTCAATGACAATTCGCGATATTTTACGTTTAAAGAATTTACATGTGCGTTTGTCTATAGATAAGAACGTCGCTTCAGAAGTCGCAATTCCAATAAATTATCGGCTATAAATTATCGACCTGTCCGTTTTTTAGACGAAAAATGTTAAACTTATAATATAATAATGAAAACTTGCAATAATTTTGAATAGACTGAGAGGATTATTAATTAATTCAAGAAATTAAAAGCTTAAAACGCAGACTTTTTTTTATATAAAAATATTATACAGAAATCAGAGGCAAATCTTAGAGGCAAATATAAAATCACGAACATTATATACCTAAGAGGTAAATCAATAAAATAAATTCCGAAATATTATTATATATATCTGATCTTCCGACAAAATCGTCACGTGAGAGACGCGCCAGTCACTTTTACGATCTCTCGAATTCAACTCGTCAAAAAATACGTATTCGCCGGTCAAATAAATCATATATGCGCACGTTGCGACACGTTCCATCTATGTTGCGCTGCGAGACTGGTGTGTATCGCGACATATCTCCTGGAGGCTGCCGACGAGGAATTTCCAAACGAGCGACTCGCATTTACTTGACGAGCGAATACGATAATGAGACGGGCGCAAGAGGGGGCCTTGAGGCTCCGTCGTCCCACACACATCCTTCGCCTTCTTCACTGTTCTCGCGGGGCCCGAAATTTCGGCGTCATGCGATCCGTACATTAACGAATAGTCGAGGATCTTTGCGCAATTGCCAGGCCGACGGTTAATTTTAGGGCCCATCTACGACGTCGAGCCCGATGGGCACGAAGCGCGAAATATGTTCCCCCGATGAAAGAGAAATTTGGATTTTGAGACACGCGATGTAATAATGATCGTGCGCGCCGGCAGCGTTGAATCCGAGCTCGCAGTCAAACGGCGAATTAATAGAAGGTAGGAATAGGGAAAACAGAGAATTGTGGAGATGGAACAGACATAATAAGACATCAGATGGAAGTACACGATCATTTTATAATAAAACGTCAGAAAATAGCAATATACGTAGAATTAAAAAAAGAACGAAGATATCTTCTATTCTAGAAGAGTTCTAGAAAGAATTTCTATTTAAAAAATTGTTAAGTAATAAGTAATAAAGTCAAGTAGGACTAATAAATAAAATAACAAGGACCGATGAAAAAAGAAGAAATATCGCAGTAATAAATTTTGTTTTAATCGCTCAATAAAAACGAAGTTTTACGTTAACCGGACAGTGACGTAATAGTGGATGACGACGGATATCGTTGCAATAATATTTGTCGCGGAGGCATATGCGTCAAATTACAGGGCAATATCGAGGGAAATGTTGCAGGTGGTCGTGCAACTTTTTTTCCCTTCCCCCTCGTATACAGGTTTGTGTTTCTCTATGGCATGAATCACTGACGGCAGCCCGTCGATCTTGACGAGAATGGAAGGGTAGCGGGCTTATCTCGTAAATGGCCAGCCTAGGCCAACCGCGCGTGCCATTGGCAGTGAAAAACATGTATTGAAACTCTTTTTATAAACGGAACCACGATTACTTAATCCTTCCGACAAGGAGGAGGAGGAGGAAGAGACAATGAAGAAGTGGCAGATTTGATTTACCTGGATCGCATTATTATATCGAAATTGATAAAAGAAACTCAACTCATGAGTTTGATGTTACATTCCCCTATACTTAATACCTAGTGCATACACACACACACACACACACACACACACGGCTTATTTTTATTTTATCTCAGAATGGTTAAATTAAAATAAAATAAAATCGAATAAGATAAAATAGAGATAGAATTATATAGAGATAGAATAAAATAATTTTACGATAAATTTATCTAATTAAATTCAAAAACTTATTCTTATAATTTGAAGCAGTCCGTTTCGTCCTCTTATTTTCTTTTTTTTTATTTAAGTTTAAAAAATTCAAATAAATTATATATAATATATATAATATTTTTCTCATCTTTTTTTGTACAAGACACATATCACTATAAGTTTTCAATTTTGTATACAACTTTTAAGTACATAGTAAAGCATATGTCACACGAATATTACACCTCTGTATGTAACAAAAAAGTTGTTTTTATACAAGTCACGCATCTTGTACATAAATAAAAACACGTTCAAATCGCAAGGAAAAAAGGAAAATAATCAAGGAACTAAACTAATCACGTCAATAGATGAAAAATACAGTTCTAAATAAAAAAAAAGATGTTGAAGAGTGTAGCTTACATATCCAGCATGGTCCGTAGATAAATTCAGGTTCGCGCGTGTTTTTTGCTCGGTGCAGTGCCCCTACTCTTTTTCTCTGACTTTTTCTTTCGCTCCTAATCGGCGATCTTACGTCACGCATGCAGTCACAACCGGTTCTCGGCCGATGGTTAGATCTTAGGAAGTGTTTGCATCTGATGCGAGGTCGCGACGCTAACAGATACTAAGACAAAGCGAGAAGCAGCTTTCGGCTGAGGCACCGCGTGATTTAACTGCCCATGATGATCCAAATTTTTCAGGTAAACAACTCGATCTCCATCTCGATTCACAATGGCGATACACGAAGCGTCTCGGATGTTAATCATTTATATCTGATTGCATATTCTCTGACAAGTTTACAGTCGCTCTTTCTTCAACGGATTTTTTTATTAAACGCTATCCTTTTTCCATCATTTTTTGTCGTTTTCAACATCAAATATTTTAATCTGATTGCAAATTCATTGATATTAAACCCCCAAAATTACATAAAAATGATTAATGTTATAAAAAATATGACTAATTTTTCATTTATATATGAACAATCTTTTATATGTACTGATGTCACATTGTCGTATCTCTGTCAGTAATTATATAGCTTTAGTAATCTAATGATTTAAACGGTAAGGTGAAAATGTCAATCCGCGAATTACATCTGGAGACACGGTAGTGTCTCGGCGCTAAGCCAAACGCAGCGACACTGCTGTGGCTACTTTTCGAAATGTACGGGAAGGTAACGAGACATACACAAGCATTAAAGAGACTCACCTTTCTGCAGCTGACCATGGTCCGCGTTCATTTTCGCCTGCAACAGAAAGTGCTGCGCTTCACCAAGTAGAATTAGCACGACGGCCGTGTATATGAAATAGACCACTAAAATATTTCGAAGTGGGTTGTCTCACCTCGTAACCTTGTTTCGCGCCCCGGCCGCCACCCCAGTAGTCGCTTTCCTTGTCGTGCGGGGCGCATTGCTGCAACACAGAAGAGAGTGTTGCTAATTAATTTTAGCAAATGCCTCCATCGATTTCCATCTGGCTAAATTAAATCATTTATTAATTTATGAAGATGAAATCTATACGAAATGCGTGTAATATGAAGATAGGAATAGAGAGGAAGAGAGAAAATATAACACTGAAAATTTTCATCTTCTAAAAAACTTGATTAAACACAAATATATTTAAGAATATATGTATTTGTACTTTTTCTTGACAATTCCAATTTTGATTCTTTCATTAAGCGCGGCGCGTATCTATAACACAATATCAAACAGCGAGGAACAATTTCTCAACAAATTCTGTAAATGATATATATTTGCGCCTTTATTTCTCTCACCATAAATTATTCGACGTTTCGCTAATTACCAGAAACGTGCTTCCGTAAGATTAATCGTCCGCGCCACCTTGCAATAGTCCAATGGTGGCACGCATAGGGCGACCACAAGAGCTATCGAAAGATGACCCCGTTTCCCTTCCCACGACCCTTCAAACCACATCCATCCCTCGGCATGACCTTCCGCATTTCGACGGACTCGCGCCAGGTCGCGTACACCTCCCCGAGAATTCGGAACGAACTGAGCCTCGTAAACCCCACGAAAGTTCGAACTACTTTCCTTCCGAGTTCTAAAATATATAAGACACACATTGTGTATCTTTCTCAGAGTTATAATAGAAATAATATCTTCCTGTACAAAATATCAATTTTCAATTATACAAAAGTATCCACTGTTACGTGATATAAAAGCAGCTTTCCCGTACATTGCGAAAACATGTTGTCCGTACTCGGAAGATCAATAGAGTGAGAAAATAATAAAATTTAAAGCATCGAAAATATTGCCATGTAAGTATACATCATATTCTATCGCATTCGCTGACTACAATAAAAAAAATATATGGTAATGCGAATTATTACTTCTCATATGATTCATGATGTAATTTGTATATCTATTTTCATTTGTCACGTACATAATTTAAATGTGTCTGATAATATTATTAATACTTGCGTTATGAAGAATTTGAAAAAAAGTTTCATATCGATAAAAAATCCTGTATTCATGGCGTACGACGATAGTAGAAGAAATATTTATGCCGAAACGTTTTTACGGCGGTCTCGTAAATATAGTCAGAGGTCAAGAAGTCGTACTGGATACAGACGACGATATGGACCGAATCGTGGTCCGAAAAGGGGACAAAGATCGTGTATGCCCGTCCTTAAGAAGGGTCGATGGTAGCCCTTCGCGCTACAGGTGGCTCGTCAAACGATCCGATTCCGTCGGAACCAGCGTAAGCTTGCCGGGATAAGGTAAAGATACGCGTTCGTGGATCAAGAATGGTGGACCGTCGTTGATAACTCGAGCAAGATACTCGCGATCTCCACAGAGATCATGACGGACGACAAGAAAGGTGCTTACAAACACGTGGAGATTTTCGATCTACAGCGAATATTCGTGTCTATTTTAAAGACGGAAAATCAGAGAAGCCGGGATAGGTAGAAGACGCATACATTCGAAAGCAATCGACTTTTCCGGGGAAATAGGGAAAAACGGTAGGGGTTGAGGTGCAAGGAGAAGATCGTTCCTTAAACCCAACTGTGTGTGTTACCAGATGGCATCATCTAGAAACGGTTATTCTAAAATCAGAATCGCCACCAGATGATATTGGGATAACGCATTCATTATGTATAAAAGATTCTTAATAGTTATTAAATACACTTGATAGTTCGTTTAACATTTTATTTAAATTCTGAAAATTAATTAGTTCGCTAGACTCGTGTTTTCACGATTATTAACAATATATCATTATGATTTATATAACATATATATGTACAAAGGAAACGTAATCTTTAATAAGCTTTCTATATTTATTCTTTCATATGTGAACAGAATATATTATTGTGAAGCAATTCTTATGTATAAGAAAGACAAAAACGAGAAGAAAAAGAAAGTAGATTATAATCAATTATAAATACGATAGATTACAATCGTATCGAGTAATAACACGTTTTAAAGATATATATTTACATATGCTAAAATAAATAGGTACAACGTAAAATAAACGTCAAGATATATATTTTTCGACACGAACACGAGAATATATAAAAATGTGATTTTCCTTTAGAAGTAATTTAGAAAATGTCTTGCGTCGTGCGAAAATATGATTGTTCCTGCTAGGTATTGGAAATATCAAAAGCAGTGGATACACGCGTGATCAATCCAAATTGAATCCGGCAGCATTCTGTGTGTGGGTGTGCGCAACGCGGTTAAAATTCAGTTGGATAATTTCCATATCGGTATCAACGATACGTACTAAAGTGCTATGTCCGGCAGCGAACCAGCTCGCCGAGCCCTTACGTCCAACGCCCTACGTGCCCGACAGAGAGAAGAACGTGCCGGAGGCAGCTCTGGATTGGTAATCCAACCTACCACGGCTCGCTCGAAGGGAAGATATAGAGAAAGAAGAAAAAAAAAAAGACAAAAAAATACATTTTAGCTCGCATCCAGGCACTGCAGCCAGTTTCACCCCCCTCCCACCCCGTCCTACACCACCCACTCACCCTCCCACTTCTCGTACACCCACCCCCTCGGTCCTCCTTTACTTCCTACATCCACAAGCTCCCTCTTTACGCCCTTCTTTATCTCTCCCTCTCGCGCGGGCTGCGAGCGTACGTGTGTATGCGAGTACGTGGTCGAGCCGATGGTCGAGAAGAGCGTCCCGATAGAAAAAGGACGCCGACGCGCGGCGTCGGTAGGTGGTCGGGTAGCTGTGAAAAAAAAATCAAAAAGATAGGAGCCGCAGGGGTGGAAGGGGGGGCAGGAGAGAGAGAGAGAGAGAGGAGGCGGGGGTGAAAGGTAGGGAAAAATGAAAAAGAGGTGAGAGAGGGAAGCGAGAGGTGGACGAATGAGAAGAGGAAAAGGGCGGAGGATAGACGAGACGAGAGGGAGAGAGATCATATGCGTATGTGCAACATGAGAGAGAGAGAGAGAGGGGG